TCCTCCTCCTTTTCCACCTCATTTCGTCCTCTCGTCCTCCCTGTCCTCGCCCCCTTCCGCGTTCTCATCCTTCGTCCTCGCCTTCCTCTCCTCCACGTCCCCCGCCGGCGGTTCCCTGCCCCCGCCCACATCCTCCTCCTTCCTGTCGTCATTCTCTTGATCTTCCCTCTCACCAACCGTCCCCGCCACCGTAGTTTCTGGCGTCGCCGTCGTCGTTGTCGTCGTCGCCGTGTTCCTCGCCACCGCCGCCGCAGTTGCCACTGACGCTGCCGCCACCGCCGCTGCCGTCGCCTCCGCCGCCGCTGTTGCCTTCGCCGTCGCCGTGGTCTTGGACGCCGCCGCCGTCGCCTCCGCCCCTGCTGTTGCCGCCGCCGTGGTCGTGGTCGTTGTCGTGGTCGCCGCCGCCGTTGCCTCCGCCGCCGTCGTCGTTGTCGCTGTGCTCCTCAGCTCGAGATGGGCGGCCCGGTCGCCGCCGCGGCGCTGGTGGGCCAGCTGCGGAAGCGAGGCCTTGGGCCAGACCAGGCCGAGGTGGGGGCCGCAGTGCTGTGCCTGATGATGGGCGCGCTGGACGAGGCCCATTCCCGAAGGGGGGATATCATCCTTCTCTTCCTTCCATCCTCTTTTTCTGATGGGGAACTCATCTTCGTCGCACCCCAGACGTGTCGGTGAGGCGGCCAGGGCTTTCGCCTGAGGCCTTCTCACCATGTGTGCACCTGAAGCTTGAAACTTGCAACAACTGCACGGATGCGGCGCTGGTTTTTGAAATGGGTTATCGCTTCAGCGCAGCGTATAGAAACATGGAGGGAGCTTCCTTTTCAAAATGTGGCCCTCGCCTTCGCACCGCGCACACTCGCTTTAAACATGTAAGTGATACGAGACCTGAGGGGGGGATCATTTTCGAAATGGTGTTGTCGCCTTGTTTCCGCGCGCGCTCGCAACAGGTACGAATAATCGAGGATGGGCGACGGCTTCTTTTCGAAATTGCGGCTATCGCCGCACTGCCGCGCACGCTAGAATCAATCGCTTATATCAACTACGAGGATGGAGTGGGTCCTTTTCAAGCTGGTGGTCTGTTCTCTCTCGACTTGTCCATGGTTCGGAGGACGGTTCTTATTCAAACTGGGGTTCTCGCTTCAGACTTCCTCAAGTTGAAGACCACAAGTGTAAACCTGTGCGCTCGTTGCACGGATGGCGGGCCGCTCCCTTTTCGAACGGGTCTCTCGCTTGACGCATCGCTGACCTCGATGACAATAGATGTTTGCGCCTTCCTCCCCCTCTTTCTGCTCCCTGCTCGCCCCGCTGGCCCTGGTGTCCCGCGAGTGCGTTCGTCGTCGTCTGCCCTCGCCGCTGTCTGCCCCCGTCCACCCTCCCGCCTGTCCGCCAGCCCCGTCGGCCCCAGTGCCCCGCCCGTGCCGCAGAGGGGGGTATAGGGGGAGGGGGGAAGGCTTCTTAGAAGCACCCCTGCTTCTTAGAAGGCGCCAGCCTCACATCCACAGATAAGGCTGGCGCCTTCTCAGAAGCAGTCTCTTTCTAAGAAGCCTTCCCCCCTCCCCCTGCCCCCTTGTGCGTGCCGCCAGGGTGCGCTTGTCGTCGCCTGCCTGCCTGCTTCTCCGCCCGACAGCCAAAGACTGCTCCGAGCGCGTGAGGAGCCCTGCCCCGCCCGACACCTGATAGGCTGCGAGGCGGGAGCCGCCAGCATTCGATGCCGGCTGCTCCCGCCGCCGCCCCCGCCCGCTGCCCTTCACCCCTCGGGACTCCTCGCGCGCCAGCATCATCTCATGGGCTTGTTGTCCACCACCACCACCACCATAAGTTGGAGGTGGGAAGGAGGTGGAGGATGAGGAGCAGGACGAGGAGGAGGAGGAGGAGGAAGAGAACCCCCTCCCCCTTCTACTTATGGTGGTGGTTGTGGTGGAAAACAAGCCCACCATCATCTCTGCCGTTCTCATCAGCGCAGAGAGGCCAGTGCGGGTGGCAGCTTTGCAGGCTTTCGCCTGGCCGCCTGGACAGGCAAGGGCAGGCCGCCAGCATCCTCTCGCTCTCTCGCTCTCTCTCTCTCTCTCTCTCTTTCTCTCTCGTTCCCTCTCCCCCCTCCCCTCTCCTCCCCTCCCTCGGCCCGTGCTTGAGGGCCGGCAGCGTCTGCACTTGGCCGCGGCCAGACCTGACGGGCCTCAGACGGCCACCCGCCCTGGGCCGCCACGGTCTGCCACGGCTGCGCCACATGAGCGACGGAAGAACACGAGGTCGTCTGCGCCGACATCGGCGCGCAAGCTCCCCGCGTAAGGTCGCGCGCAAGTGCCCTCGTCTCCAATGTAGCGTGCCGCGCTGGCGGCCCGCGCAAGCCGTCGCGTAGGGCCGCTATGTGATCTCGCGCAAGATCCGCTTTCGGGCGACGAGAACTATACATATCTCGGGCGACGAAATCTGTACACATCCATTGCTCCCTGGCCATGCCCATCCTGAACCCCTGAGCTGTGTATACGCCCTACTGGCCAAGCCAGGAGGGCGCGGCGTATACATCACGAGCTGAAAACTAGCACCCGTCACTATACGCCCCCTCGACTTCCTCGGGTGGAATTGTGGGAGGGGGCTATGGGTGCGTGTTATCGGATGGGGTTCCCCGCTCGAACGGGAACCCCCCTCGGGGCCCGACAATTCCGCACCCATACCTATAGCGTGTTCATCGCCTCGCCCTTCCCCATTCTTCCTCCCTGCAGGTTTGAGGGTGTGTTGTTCGCTGATCATATACCGCTGCTGGGTTCAGGATGGGCCTGGCAAGGGAGCGGTGGATATGTCTAGATTTCGTCGCCCCACATTTTCGACCTTCGCTCGCGTGCTCCGACGGGCGCACTGATCGACCTCCCTGCCCTGGGTCGTGAGAGGGCCAGCATCGCCCGAGCACGTTGGTGCAAGACCGCAACGGGCCTCTCCCTGCCTCGTCCTGTCCCGGTTCCTGCACAGTCTTGCGTTTCCGCTCCTCCTCCTTCTTCTTGTAACTGCGTTGGCCATACTATAACCTCCTCCCCCTCCTCCTCCTTCTCCTCCTCCTCCTCCGCCTCCTCCTCCTCCTCCACCCTGCCCGCGGCCGCTTCCTCCTCTCGGGCGACGGAATATGTACACATCCACTGTTTCCTGGCCAGGCCCTGCTTCGGCCCGGGAGCTGTGCAGACGGCCTCCTGGCCGAGCTGGGATGGCGCAGCGTATACAACGCTGCTAGGCTCAGGATGGGCCTGGCCAGGGAGCAGTGTAATTATATGTATAGATTTCGCCGCTCCCCCTTTTCCCACTCCTGCTGCTTGACGATTGGCGATGCCGTTTCCCGGCTTGCCCGAGCGCGCGTGCGGATTGCTTCTGCTGCATTGCGGCGCAAAAGAGCGTCTTGCGCCAAGTTTGCGCGCCCAGATTCGAATCGGTTCGCTGTTCAATTCAGGTCGCTTGCCCTTTGCCTGGCCAACCTTGGCCCCGTGCACGACAGGCACCAGATCTTGCGCCTGTCTATTGACCCCGCTCTTGCCATGCTGTGCCCCCACCGCAGACTGTTGCAGCGACTCGCTAGAAAGATACAAATCAGTTCTTGCTCAGATCGGGGCTCTCGCCTGAATGGCAGGAGTCACATATGATGTTCATCTTTCAGGGGCGCGCTTCTTGAGGCGGAGAGGCTTGTAGAGACATCTGACATACGAGGAGAGAACTCGGTGTGGGAGGGTGAATTGCAGCCTCGTCTACACATATTTGACTTACTCTTGTCTTTCTCCTTTTCCTCGTCCTCCACCGTCACCCTCCTCCTCCTCCCCACTCCTCCTAAGGAGGGAGGGAGGGAGGGAGGGAGGGAGGGCAGGGAATTGGGAGAGGATGCCAGGATAGACCTCAAATGAGTGCACCTGCGGTTCTACAATCGAGAATTCTCAACCGTGATTGGAGGCAGTGGTGCATTATGTTTCGGGACCTTTGCCGATGACTTACTCCTAAGCAGTAGTACACCCGGGCTCAGTATTCCGCAAGGGTAATATCAGGCGGGATTGAGGTTCAGATCGTTGCCGAAAATCCGCCCTTCGTTGGCCCGATCACGTCCAAGACGGTCAAGATGGCCTCCAAGATGCCTCCAAGATGGCCAAGGCGATCCAAGATCGCCTTCAAGACGGTCCAACCATGTCTCCAATACGGCCGCGATGGGCCCAAGAGGGCCCAAGATAGCCCAATATGGGCCCAAGAAGCCCCGAAATGGCTTCAAGATTGCTCAAGAGGCCGCCAAGACGTCCCAAGACAGCCCCAAGAGCCCCAAGGGGCTCAATCAACGATCGCCCATCGGTGTTTGAGGGATTTTGGCATTTGCGGCCTTCCGATGGCCCAAGAGGCCCCCAAAATATCCCAAGAGCGCCCAAGAGGCCTCCAAGATGGCCCCGTGACGGGCCAAGAAGCCCCAAAGACGGCCCCAAGAGGGCCCCAGGAGGCCTCCAAGGCGCCCAAGATGGCTTCCAAGACGGCCCTGAAGCGCCCCAAGAGGGCCCCAAGATAGCCCAGAGTGGCCCCAACGACGGCTCCAAAGATGCCTCGAAGAAGCCCCCACAGGCCCCCAAGAGGCCCAAGGATCAGCAATCGCATGGCAAATTACAGCGATATTGGACACCAGTTGCGTGTTCATCACTGTCGCAGCTCCTTCCTTGCTGAAGCAATTGCTCTGGAAAGCGCCAGCCTGGAAGTGCCACGGCGGTGCAAGTGGTCACGAGGCCCGATCATTTCGTGCATTCTTGTTCGTTGCGCAATGGAGCTCCAGGGTAGATGTGCGGAGTCAATCCCGAAAGACATGAAAATAGTTGGGGGGAGTGGAAGGGAGGGGCGAGGAGGAGGAGAAGGAGGAGGAGGAGGAGGAGGAGGTGGAATGATCAGAGCGAGGGGGAGCCGACCGGTCATTCACTGTCCCTGGGTGTGTTGCTGACGTTGGGTTCCGCGGTGCGGATTGCTGTTGCGTTGCGCCGCGTTGAGTTGTCGTCCCTCTCGCGACCCAGCCCGCGACCCACCCGCGCCCCGCCCGCGGCCCACCCGCGGCCCACCCGCGACCCGCCAGCGACTCGCCCGCAACCCGCCCGCGACCCACCCGGCGCCCGCCCCTCTCCCTCTCGCCCTGGGCGCCCCCCCTCCCTCTCCCCCCTCTCTCCCCTCCCTCTCCCCTCTCCCTCCCCTCCCCTCTCCCCTCTCCCCTCTCTCCCTCATTATGATCCGCAATGGCGGGGTGCTACTTGTAGTAAGAGTAGATCATGGCCGAAGGGGGAAAAGGGGGAGGAGAAGGAGTCGCAGCAGGATGGGAGGCTGCTTGCCAGAACTCGCTGCAGCCGCCGACATCCTCCAGAGGCCCCCCACTCTTCTTCCCCTTGCTGCTGCACCTCCTCCTCCTCCTCCTCCTCCTCCTTCCTCCTCTCCTCCTCCTCCTCCTCCTCCTCCTCCTCCTCCTCCTCCTCCTCCTCCCTCTCCCTGTTTGACGACGAGGAGGGCATGGCTCATTTCGGTTCCTCCGATTGGATTCGCTTCGATTTCGATTGCCTCCGATTCCGATTCGATTCGACTTCGGATTCCGATTTGGACTCCGATTCCTCAATGGAACTGGCGTGCCGATCTCCGCCGATTCGATTCATTTCGATCGCCGATCCGACTTGCCGATGCCATTCTGGGCTCTCCTGGGAGGGAGTCCGGGTGCAGCCCGAAAGGCTCACAACCTCGTGACGCCCCACACGGAAAACAAGCCGACCACGTTCGGAGGCCCGCCACGTTTCGGCAGCACGGCGGTGCTTCGGGGAGGGGCCCGCTTTGCCAGGCGAGCCGGGAGGGCCCCAGGGGAAACAGCTCGCCAGCAGCGCCAGCCCGTGGCGTCTGAGCGTCGCGGAGAAGTAAGGCCGCGTCGGAGATTAAAGGAGGACAAGGCACCCATACACGCTGGTCGTTGAAAGTAGGTATTATTGGATTCCCAGATCCCAGTCTACTTCAAGCGCCTTCCTACTTCAAGAATCGGCATGCTTTCGCTATGTTTTGTTATTCTCTGGGAGGGCCTGGACCCAATCCACTTTATCCACCTTCCTACTTCATGTTTTTACCCACTTCTTCCGACCGGCGTGTACCTCTGCCCTCCGCCCGTTTGCCCTTTTTGTGCGCCCTGGGAGGTCCTCGTCGCCATTGCTGGATTCGCCCCGAAATCCTGGTCAGAGCGCACCCCAGGAGAGGTCCGAGGGGGTAGCGGTATCGGTACACGCCAGTCGCTGAAAGTAGGTATTTTTGGATTCCCAGATCCCAATCTATCTCAAGCGCCTTCCTACTTCAAGGATCGACATGTTTTTGCTGTGTCTTGTTATTCTATGGGAGGACCTGAGCCTAATCTACTATATCTGCCTTCCTACTTCATGTTTCTACCTACTTCTTCCGACCGACGTGTACCTCTTGGTTTCCCCAGGAGCGCTTCGCTTGTCTGGGGCCCCCCAGTTTGGATTCCCTCGCCCTTTCCACCCGCGGCAGCTTCTTTCTCTCTTCCGCACGTGCAGGCGCAATGCTTGAGTCGGGCATGTCCCTCTACAGGAGGAATATTCATAAATAGTCAAAAGATCGTCTGGGGACAACTTTTTTGGTTGGCGTGTTTCTTTACCATGTGTTATTTTTCCTCCAAATCTGCCTGTAGGGGGACATGCCCGACCTAACGCAAGGCGCCCCAGCGCTGCCCGCCGATGCTACGATCCTGGCAAGTTTCCTGCCGTGGCGGGCAAAGCTCTGCTGGCGCAGGGCCCTCACGGTTCGATCCCTCTCGAAGCAGCAGGCGCAGTGACAATTAGTTGGGGCGCCCCGGCCGTGTTCTCGTAGCGCCAACATCGCAGAGCGGATTTCGTTCGAAAAACCATAGGGTTGGCCCGGGTTGTCCTGGAGAATTTCGTTCCGGATTTCGAGGTGAATTTCGTGCGGATTTTCTTGGCCAGGAATGAGGACTACAAAAAATCTACGTGAAATTCACTCCGTTTTTCGCTCGAGGATTCAGGGTTCCTGCGTTGACAGAAATCCACGCAACAATCCGCTGCAGCACGTCTACAAGGTCGGTGCAATAAGTGTTTTCCGCGGCATGGTAATATCTCACAAGGGATGCTGGGTCATAGCAGAGGTCATTCGAGCCTTGGGGAGCAGCCTGCAACGGTCGCGACACCTTCCGCGACTACTAATATTTGGACATTGGAAGCCGGTGAGTCCGTCGTACGTGCCCGACTCGCTTGCGCTTTGCTTGCGCCCAAAGACATTCTGCCATGCCCGCTGCCCACAGTTTCTATGAATCCCCCGTCTCCCCCCTTACAGTTTTGCGCCCACACCGTTTCTCCCTAAGTCACTTGCCGTCCCTCCGTCTATCTGGCCTCCTTCCCCAGTGTTCCCCCATCCCCCGTCATCACTCAGTATGTTGTCACGCCTCAAAGTACGGTGGCGGATATTGTGATAGACTTTGGCCACCTGGCAGATGGAGTGACCAGCACCCGGTTGTGTTCAGCTGTTGGGGGCAACGCAATTGCCACGTGGCGTTATCTAAAACGAGCCATGCGGTCGGTGTTAGCAAACGTCTTGTTCTGACAGCTGTGCTCCCACAGTTTAGTATTGTTGTGCAAGAAACGTTTCAGTTTTCAAACAGTGCTAAATCTCGACATCGTTATTTTGGAGTATAATGCAGTTGAATAAAGGGTTTGGTCGGCATCGTATCCCAAGAGGACGAGGAGACGGAGGAGGAGGAGGAGGAGGAGGGAGGAGGGAGGAGGGAGGAGGGAGGCGGGATGAGGGAGGAGGAGGAGGAGGAGGAGGAGGAGGAGGAGGAGGAGGAGGAGGAGGGACTAGGAAAGAGGAGGAACAGGCGGAAGGCAGAAAGGCCAGATGCCTCGTGGATGCCTCTCGGAGTCTCATCGGATTTCGTTCGACAGTTTTTGTTGGAGTCCTTTTGGGTCTTCTTTGGGAGCTCTTGGCAGTCCTGGAGGCCTCTTGTGGCGTCTGTGGTATATCTGGGGGGCCGCCTGGAGCCTGTTGGGGGTCTCTTGGGAGCCTCTTTGGGGCACCTGGGGGGCCTCTTGCCCGCCTCTCTGGGCCTCCTGGGCACCTCTTGGGGCCGTCTCAGGGCACCCTTGGGAGCCACGGGGGCCATCTTGGGGCCATCTTGGGATAGATCGATCAAAGGAGAGGGGCTCCTTGCTTAGGGTCCCCCAGGTCAAAATTTTGTCAACACCTCAGCACAATCAATGATTTTGGCATTCCCGCCGAGGCGCCTTGGGGCGTCTTGGGTGCCTCTGGGGGGTCTCTTGGGGCCTCTTGGGGGTCTATTGGGAGCATCTGGGAGGCTTCTTGGGGCCTCCTGGGCGCCTCTTGGGGTCTCTTGGGGCGTCTTGGGTGCCTCTGGGGGCGTCTAGGGGGCCATCTTGGGAGCCTCTTGAGGGTATCTTGCGGGGGCCTCTTGGGGGCCTCATGGGGCCTCCTCGCGCCTCTTGGGGCCCTCTTGGAGCGCCCTTGGGAGCCTTGGGGACCATCTTTGGGCCATCTTGGAGGAGATCGCTCAAATGAGGAGAGCTCCTGAATTAGGGCCCCCTTCAGGAGGCCAAAACCTGAGTAATATCAACGCTGTCGGCTTCCTCGCCAAGACTGTTTTGAACGCTCTCACACCTCGCGACCCCCCCTCCAGGTCCAGGGGGAGGGGGCAGGGGGAGGGGTCAAGACACCCCCTAGATAACAAGCCGTCTAGCTCACTCCCACCCGCCCTCCCAACACATAAGTAACACCCGAGCCTTAACATGTTCAGCGGTCGTCTTTGGATGGACAGATCATGGGAACCAAAACCGACCCCACGTGCGCGACGCGAGGTGCGCCACGCGTGCCAGGCGCGCCACGCGCGCCAGGCACCCCTGGGGCGCCAGATGCGCCACGTGCTCCGCGTGCGCCAGGTGTGCCGCATGCTCCAGCCGCGCCAGGTGCGCCACATTCGGGCAAAATGTGCAGAGCGTGTCAGGTGCGCCTGCGCACGTGACAGCACACATCGGGAAACATGGCGGTCCTCACCATCCTTGTCGAACAGCAATGCCTATTATTGTGTCTGATGGGCCTGCGCACAGCAGGCCATACGTCACCACCCCCGCCGCCCCTGTCAAACACCACTTGACTGTGATCGCGGGTTGGCCGCGCATGATCCAGATATAGCCTCGAGGTGCATTATGTTTTGTTCTTTGTTAGGGTGACAGCCCTGCGCGCAGCAGACAATATGCTGACACCCCCGCTTTCCCTGTCAAAACAATGCAAAATGCTCGCGGGCCTCACGAACATGATTCAAGACTTTGCTACAGAGTGTACTTTGTATTGCTATTTTTTGGCAGGGATGGTGGGGGAGGCCCGCATCGGGTTGGCCGCGCACGCTCCAAATGTGGAGGCAGGGTGCGTTTTGTATCGGTTTTGACAGGGATGGTGGGGGGGCCGCATGGTTCCTGGTTGGCCACTGGTCGCCTGGGGGAAGGGGTGTAGATTCATAGGAAACAGTCATAAACCCTTCTCCGAAGGGGAAGAAGGGGGGTTGGAAGAAGAAAGTCCCTGAACCACTCACGCCCCAAAGGGCTGGTGGGATTTCCGTGCCCGGGCCATCGCCAATGACTATTGCAGGAGGCGGCAGTGGGCTCCTTTCTCGCCCTCCCTTTTTACCCCGCCCCCTTTTGGTAGAAAGAGGAGAGCTGAGCTGGGGCCCTGTGGGCATTATCGAAGACGCCTACGGCGAGTCACCGCGCCCCCTGCCTTTTTGGAAGCGCCTATGTGGCCGAACTTTGTTGCCAGAGGCCTGCCAAGCTATCGAACCATGTGTTCCCCGAATCGGTTTGGAAAGCGTTCGGGGAACACGTGGGCATCTTCAAGATCATCTTGGCCGTGTGGAGGCCATTTTGACCCTTTCGGGCCTTCTTGGAGGACGTCTTGGAGGCCTCTTGTGCCGTCTTGGGCCGTCTTGGGGGCCTCTTGGGGCCGTCTTGGGCTTCTTGTGCGATTTTTGGGGGGCACTTGGGCCGTCTCGGGCCGTGGGAAGCCACAACAAAAAGCAAATGCCACAATCCTTCAAAAGCTCATGGGAAATCAATGATTTTGGCTTTTTCGGCTCTCCCTGGAGGCCCTTTTTGGAGCCTCTTGGGCCGTCTTGGGGTCCTCTTGGGGTTGTCTCGGGGGTCCTTTGGGCCTCTTGGGGGTCTCGGGTTGTCTCGGGGGTCTCTTGGGGTCCTCTTGGGGTTGGCTCAAACTCAAGGCGTCAAGGCTCAAGGCTCAAGGCCTCAAGGCGTCCACGGTTCAACCCGATCTCTACATACATGTCTACATCAACTTTGCGTCATGTCCGGCATTGCCCATGGCAGTGGCAGTTGCAGAGAGCGGTGGACGGAAATTCAAACCTCAGGGTAGCAGCCCTGAGGCTCCGGACAAAGAGTATGCGAAGAAGAATGAGGAGGGCGACTCGGACACCTCGGATCTATGCGCGGATGGGGAGGTGAAGGAGGATGAGGAGATGGACATGAAGGGAATGATGATGAAGATGATGGGCATGATGGAGGGCATGAGGGCAGATATGAAGAGTACAAAAACAATGCGGCGGAGGCGACGGTCATCGCACGGCAAGCGAAAGCTGCTGCAAACTTGGCCGAGGAAGCGGTGGAGGCGGCCAAAGCGGAGATGAAGACCACAGTGAAGGAAGTAAAAGATTCGAACGAGATCTTGAAGAACGACATAAAGGAAATCAAATAAACAATTAACATGAACTCAGGCAACAAACGTAGCCGCACCGACACAGACGACAGGAACAAGCGGGAAATTGCTCTGGGCTTCAAGGACCCGCTCGACTCTGATGAATTGGTGGAGAAGCCGAAGGGCATCTTAAGCAACATCCTGGACGACGTCACCGACCTCAACGTGGAGACTTTCCGAAACCCAGCAAACATGGCAATGGTTACGTTCCCGACCATATCAGCTAAAGTGGAATCCTACAAGAAGTACCAGGGGATGGTAGACAACAGTTGGTTGGATGGTGTGTTTTTCAAGAACAACCAAGCCACGGAAGAGCACGTTGCTGACAAGCGGCTTGGCTACACAAAGTACCACCTGTGTAAGGAGCCGAAGCACCAGACGGACACCGTGCAGATCTTGTGGGGCAAGCGGATAGTCACGGTAAATGGAAGAAGGTGGCGTGGTACGACGAACACGGACATTGGAAAACGACTGCAGTGGGTAAGTCCGTCGAGGAGAAGGTGGGCGATTCATTAAATATTTTTCTTACCCAAATCACTGCGGGCCCAGACCCTGGCACGGACAGTGATTAATAGAGCTGAGAGCGCGGATCAAAACGGCGCGCTAATGCTCGCAACACAATCAACATGTCAACATAATTTTCAGTGCCAGGTTCCTCCCAGCTTGCTGTGTCGACAGGCAGCGGAACGCAAGTACCTCAACAAGGACGGTCCCGTGTCGGTATCCGTGCCCGAGTCGAAGAAGTCGTCTTCTTGTTGGCTGGGGGAACTTCAGAGGGTGGTCGCGTCGGGTGGCGCGTGGGTGACGGCAGATGGCCAGCCAGTATTTGAGCCAGAAGCTTGTGTGTTGTTGGCTTCTTGGCCTAGAAGCGTTGTGGGTCCAGTGGGCCCTCCATCGTTCCAGATGTTGTTCGGCATGACTTCCGGCGTGCCGCTTACTTCGGCATGGCATGCGCCAGCGTTGCGACCGCTGAAGATGCCCACGATGTTTCCTGGGGGGCATTCAGCCAAGTGTCCATGGCTGCGCGCGCGCTCCAAGAGTTGATCGTGCTGTTGTTTGGTACGAGGCAGCTGATGATTGAGCGGTTGCAATAGTTGTGCTGCCTGTTCGGCAAGTACTTACTCCCAAGGCGCGGAATGCAATGAGCATTAAGATCTGGAAGTTGGTCATTTTTAAACTCGCCGAGTCTGCTTCCAGCCTGGCGGTTTCAAAGCGGGCCAGCACTGAGTCGATGCGCTCGCCTCTATCAACTCTGAAGTCGATGGGGGCTGTACCCGAGGTGAGCTGTCGCTCGTCCTCGAGGTTTTCGAACTTGACGCTTCGGATGTACATGATATCTGTGACTCCGTCGGTGCGTCCGTCCAACATGTAAAGTTCCACCGCAGTTGATGGTACACGGCACCCTCGTAGCCAGCGTCCTGGCTGAACCCCCTAGGCCGCGCTGTAATTCAGCGGCCTGTCCCAAAAGGGGCCCCGAATGCGTGTTTTTCATCCATCGCATGTATCCCACGGCCAGACCTAGGTATGCTCACATGATGCCAAAAGTTGCAACCTTGACATAGTGCTAGGTCATATGGTAGTTGATGGTGTCAAGTTTTGTATCATGGGTGTTTCTCGTACTGGTGGGGTTACGATTGGGTGTTTGGTCTGACGTTGCCGTCAGTTTGTGGATGAGTGTGGAGACTTGGTTTGTGCGTGGCGCGTTGCCACGCGGTGGGGAGATGGAGGTATAGGACTGTAAGTTACCAGTTGGTTGAGGAGTATTGGGGGTGTAGTGGCTGATCGCCTGCGCTGTTGTGTAGTATGCACATAGCACCTGATGTAAGAACCAACCCTATAAACATAAGGCCAGCTCCGTTACCAAGTGAAAAGAGAAGGTCAGGTTCTCCATGAGGTAATAAGCTGGGACCCTGCTGCTTAAGACAACGTCGCAGACGTGTCGAGGTATCCCACAGTTTATCCCTTGACGGTAAGTAAGATGAAATGTAAGAGGCAACCAGTGGGATAGAGAGATAAGCGATCTGTGGATGTGACCTTCCAACCAACACTCAGGTTCGATTCTGCCACGAAAGCTCGTGGTAATCATATAGGGCAGCGATGCCATGAGCCAGAACAGCGCCGATAGGATATAGCGTTCGCTATTCAATCCCCGCTTGCAATCCTGTCAAAGTAAGCCACCCGGCACCCCCCCCCAGCAGATGTGAAACTCAGGCTCTAGGCTTTAGCTGAGGCTTTTGAACCTCACGCGCCGGATCAGCGGATTTACCACGGCATGCTTGGACAATCTGGGTGGGCACACAGAAGCTCTGCATATACATATCATGCTACGCGCTCGTCTCCCATTGGTTGAACGTCGGTTAAACTCCATGCGCCTTACAACGTTCGCTTATCCAGCTGGGCTTGCCCAGGCCGACCGTAGTTTTGTTTTAGCTGAGCTTTGTGTGGTAATATCCAGGGTTTCTTTGCTTTGCCTTTTGGAGCTGAGCCGAACGAGCTCGATGCGAAAGTCGTTGATGTCAGCTTTGGTGCGACGAGCCTACCACGTCTCAGCTTTGCGTGTAGCAGCGCAGTGTGATCGTTAGTTGCCAGCGGAGGAGGAAACCATGGTGAGCATGAGAAGAAGGATCAGGACGAGAAACAGTACAGTTAACCCTCATAGTATAGTAAGGCTGAACGACTTCCCAAGTTTACCCTTGCATCCTTGCCCTTCGGCCGATCTCTTCGCAAAGTATCGGCATGGCCTTCTAAGGCCCTCGCATCCGTATCGTACGTCTTTCTTATACGGGTTGAGTGTATGGGGAGAGAAGATGAGGACGATGAAGGAGGAAGAGGGCAGAAGAGGGGAAGAGGACCTTCGTTGTGAAATCCACGCTCCGCAGACAGGTGCAGGAGGCGTGCTACTGCCAGGTCCTCGTGCACAGGACCACGGGCGGCTCGTCGTCGTCGTCGTTGTCCTCCACTTCAAGACTTTGCATCAATGAACACTGTCATCCGTGAGCGCACAGAGACGCAACTACACCAAGCCAATTCAAACTGGCCTGGTAGTGACAGTAGCGTGCTTGCGATATTTAAGCACGAGCACGAGGGCAAGTGGACTCAGTGAAATCGAGGGCAAGCTGATTCCGTCGATCCTCAGCATAATCGTCTCCATGAGCTCCCGCATGGTGTCGAGATGATCTACTTCTGCAGACGATTCAATTGGGGCGTCGGCGCTGAGAGGGTTCAGGAGGATGAGAAGGAGAGGAGGAGGAGGAGGAGGAGGAGGAAGAGGAAGAGGAGGAGGAGGAGGATGATGAGGAGAAGGAGGATGACAATGAGGAGGAGGAGGATGATGAGGAGGAGGAGGCGGAGGAGGAGGAGGAGGAGGAGGAGGGAGAAGGAGGAGGAGGAGGGGGAGGAGGAAGAAGAGGAGGAGGAGGAGGAGGAGGAAGAGGAGGAGGACGCGCGCGACCTAGCGGCGGCCAGTCAGGCAGGCCGCATGCGCTCGACGTGCACACGCACGGCAACCCTGGCGACGAGGACACCCCGACGCCGCAGGACTCCAGCCGCTTTTGGCGCCTGCCCGCAAGCGCCAACCGCGGCCACAGTCCACCTTCAGGCCCTCGGGCCAGGCGGCACCCCAGGACACGGGTCGGTGGCAGGCCCCTCGGGCCCGTCGTGGCCAGGAGACGAGGCGGATCCAGCCGACCGTCCGAGGTGCTTGGCCCCTTGGGAGCCACCTCAGGACGGACGGGCTCGCTCACATCTCCTACCCCAGCGACCGCCGCTACACAGCCTCGGCGACAGGCGGCGAGTAGCCACCTTACCTTGCGCTGCACCGCGGTCGCCTCAGGCTCCTCGCCGTCGTACGCAGGTCGGGCTGACCGCAAGGCGACGGCCCCCGGGGGCGCCGCGCTGGCGGCACTTCCCCCCTCTCCGCGGCCCGCCGCCGCCGCTGCCGCCTTCCGCGTCACTCCAGCTGGCCTCGCATGCGGCCGACACCCTGGGTGTCCGTCCTTCTTTTCGCCGCTTGATTGCCCCCCCGCCCAGGTGCGAGGCATCCAGCGCCCCAGCGCCGCCGCCGCCGCCAGGTCTCTGGGACCGCGGCGGCGGCCCCAAGGGCTCTTGCAAATCGCTGTCCACCGCGTGGGTCAGGTCCTGCAAGAAGATCGGGACGCGGCTGCCCAGCTTGGGCGCCATTTGGTCGGCGAGCCTGACCAGGACGGCCTGGCCCGCAGACGACGGCGCCCCGCAGTCGTCTGCGAAGCTGGAGGCCCTCACACCTCGCCCGTGAAGCCGCACTTGAGGCACGCCAGCAAGGGTATCATGCGCGTCAGCTGGCCGTCCACCTGTGGCTGGATCATGACCAGGCGGTGGTCGCTCATCCCGCGCTTGCGAAGGCGTCGATTGGCGGCCAGTGCTGTGGGGACGATGTTGCCTGAGCACTCTCCGACTCGCAGCCTGGCTCGGCCGCTCGACCGCGTGCTGCGGCTTTGCCTTCCTGTGGCTCGTGTCGCTGCCGTTGACCCAGCTGCCGACGGCGCTGCACCACATGGCTACGCCGTCGACCAGGCCGCGCTCCGACCTCAACTTGGCGCGATCCCTGGGAGGAATGCGCCAGTGGTCGGCCGCCGCTCTGGCCGCCGCTTCCGCGTGCGTGTTGCCCAGCCAGTCCCTGTAGGCGATGGCCCCGTCCCGCGCCTGCCGTCGGGTCTGGTGCGCGCGGCTCCGCCGCACGCGGGCTCCCTGTTCTCCGACGCCGCCGATGTCGTCGATCAGGTCCCGAGCGGCTCTCCGCAGGTGGGCCCAGGTGTGACAGTAGCTGGTGGTGATAGGGCGGCCAGCATGCATCACTCCATTGAAAACGTACCTCGAGTCGACCGCGGCGACGATCGGGGCAACCCCGAACCGCAGCATCATGATGAAGGCCATGAGCTCGCCACCGTTGATGTCCACGTAGGGCTGACACAACTGGCCCGAGACCGACATCATGTACTCGTCCGCCGCTGGCCGCAATGCCACTGCGCTCAAGCCTACCGAAGCATAGCCGTCAAACGCTGACTCAAAAGCTGAGCCGTCAAAGAAATTTCGCCCGACGGAATGATTCCTTCATGCAATCCTCGCCAGCACACCTGCTCGCACCGACTGGGCCTCGGGAGGCCCGCTTGCGCAGGCCAAAGGCACCTCTCCAGCAGCAGCTGCACCTCGGCGAGGTCCGCGCGCTCGCGCATCCTCCAGACCGCGGCCGGCGCCTGAAAAACGTCCTTCCAGCTGTCGCAGTCGCAGTGCTTGTGCAACAGCGTGCCCCGCTGTCCGCAGAGAAGGCAGTCGTCCGAGGGTGCCATGCCCTTGTCCGCCTTCCTCGCCTGCTGCCACTGACCGTCGGTGACCAGCGACCCGATTTACCCGCGCTCCTCCAGCGTGAGCCTCACCCTCCTTCACGGCTCCTGGCTCGTACCCCTCGGGGCGTACACGCTGTCGATGAGGCTCGTCGTCGTGAGGCGCACCAGCGGCTCCAGGACCCCACCTCGCCCCAATTACTCGCAGCCCGGGGAGGCCGCGACTTGCCGCCACTGCCAGCTCTCGACGGCGCGCAGCAGCAGCTTCTTGATAGCCCACGGGGAGGTGTCGAAGGGCCGCACCTCCGTCCCATCATGGCACCTCCAACGATCAGCATGGATAGTGTCCCAGCCAACCCGACGCAGCTTGACGACGACCGCAGACAGCGGGCCCTGCACGCGCGCCCAGGTAGATGCTCGACCTTCACGCAGGCAGAAGTCGATCATGTGGCGAAGCACCCAGCCTTCCACCTCGCGTGCAGCAGCATCATCACGGGCGCGAGGGTGGCGTGAATGACTGGGTCGATGCCTTGCCGAAGCATCAACGCAAGGGTGCGCGCTCTCCCGGCCGTGCTGGACGAGGTGGCGATGAAGGTGATGCTCCTGGCCTTGTCCAGCTCCCCCTGCGCGAGCCCTGTGACCCCTGCGCCGTAGGCCACGCTGGACTCCAGCCCTGTTTTGACCACTCGCTGGGCCGCCTCCTTCCTGCTCTTGCCCGTCCTGATCACTCGCGCTCGACGGAGCCGCTGGTGGGCGAGCTGGAGACGCTCTGCCCGAACTGCACGACCGACGCGCTTGCCTCCGCTGAAGTCGACCCCGAGGTTCCGCTCTTGCTCTGCACCGACCATTCCGTGGGCCGCCGCAACCGCTGGGCCAAACCCGCTCTGGCAGCGGGGTGGTTGGCCAGAGCTCTCGACTTCTTGGGCGGCACCCGCAAGTCGATGTCGTCCAGCAGCGCCTTAAGCCTGTAGGCCGCGTCAGAGCCCTCCCGCACCGTGCGTTGCAATCCCCCAGTTCGCCTCAGGATGATGTCATCCACCACCGCGGAGAAGAACGCCGTGGGCGAGCTTTCCTGCAGCTTGTCCAGCGGCGCCAGCAGGAGCATCTAGAGCATGAGCGTCGCCAGCCCGTCGCCTGGAAGCATTGCCTGCTCGGCGCAAATCGGATCGCTGACCGCTTCGCCGATCACCAACCGCCGCGGAGCGCGGTGCAGCTCGATCTGCTTCTTGAGCCCACCAGGGAAACCCGGTCTTGATCGCCGCGTTGATCAAGTGATGGTGGCGCACTTGCTCGCGCGCCTTGAGCAGGTCCAGCAGCGCGAGCACCGCGACCCAGGCCTCGGGGTCGTCAGCAGCGCGGCCCTTGGCCGTGGCCCACTCGCACTCCACCGCCTGCTGCCACGCCGCTCTCTCACAGCCTCGGCCGCGCGAGGCCCAGAAGAACTGCCTGTCGTTCCGCTGCTCCCAGTCGATCGCCAGCGGCCTGCGAAGCCGCGTCTGCAGCCGCGCCAGCGCCATGATGACGTCGATGGGCCGAACCCCACCGAAGCGCTTCGCCAAGAAGCACACCTTCGCGCTGAGCGCAGGCCACTCAGCCGCCTGCTCCACCGCCACTAAGATGTCGATGAAGGCCTCCAGCACCCCGTCGCACAACTCGAGCAGCTGGCGCGGCCGGATTCCTTCGAAGGAGGCCGCGGTGCCACCGCGGAAGGTGCGGAGGCAGCTGCGCAGCTCGCCGACCGACGGCCGCGGCGGCCGTTCGGCGAGGTCTTGCGGCCAGTGCAGGCCCATCTGGTCGCATTCGACCCGCCGCAGGTGCTTCCACTCCTCCTCTAGCTGCTGGACCTCGGCTGCCCGATGTGCCGGCGCGCCAGCACCGCCCTCCACCGCGGGCGGGCTCTCGTGCCACCCGATGGGGACCCTGGCTATGGCGTGCACCCCTGCAGCGCCCCCACGCAGCTGGTGGAATACCCACTCGTCGAACTGGCGCCCCCGCTCGTCGAGGTCTCTCCGCGCCAGGGCCTGCGCGCCCGCGCGAGCGCGATCGGCGAGCCCCGCCGCCGCCCGCACGTCGAGCGCGCCGAAATCGCAGCGCGGAACCAGCCTCCACCAGCGTCCTGCAGCGAACGCCAGCCCACCGACCTGGGGGGGCGTGGGCTGCTCCACGGCGCGCGCCTCCTGGCTCTCCTGCTCCTCGCGCTCTCGCCGGGGAGGAGGAGGAGGAGGAGGAGGAGGAGGAGGAGGAGGAGGAGGAGGAGGAGGAGGAGGAGGAGGAGGAGGAAGGCGAGGAGGAGCCGGTAGAGGCTGAGCTCGGCCGTGCGCATCGGCGGCCGCGTCGGCGCGCACGCAGTCCGTTTGCCTTGGGGCCTTCCTCGGACTCGTGGGCCTCGCGGCGGGGAGGAGGAGGAGGAGGAGGAGGCGGAGCGGAAGGAGGAGGAGGCGGAGGAGGAGGGAGGAGGAGGAGGAGGAGGAGGAGGAGGAGGAGGAGGAGGAGGAGGAGGAGGAGGAGGAGGAGGAGGAGGAGGAGGAGGAGGCGGAGGAGAGGAGGAGGAGGAGGAGGAGGAGGAGGAGGAGAGGAGGAGGAGGAGGAGGAGGAGGAGGAGGAGGAGGAGGAGGAGGAGGAGGAGGAGGAGGAGGAGAGGAGGAGGAGGAGGAGGAGAAGGAGGAGGAGGAGGAGGGGAGGAGGAGGAGGAGGAGGAGGAGGAGGAGGAGGAGGAGGAGGAGGAGGAGGAGGAGGAGGAGGAGGAGGAGGAGGAGGAGGAGAGGAGGAGGAGGAGGAGGAGGAGGAGGAGGAGGAGGAGGAGGAGGAGGAGGAGAGGAGGAGGAGGAGGAGGAGGAGGAGGAGAGGAGGAGGAGGAGGAGGAGGAGGAGGAGGAGGGGAGGAGGAGGAGGAGGAGGAGGAGGAGGAGGAGGAGGAGGAGGAGGAGGAGGAGGAGGAGGAAGAGGAAGAGAGAAGGAGGAGGAGGATGAGGAGGAGGAGGAGGAGGAGGAGGAGGAGGAGGAGGAGGAGGAGGAGGAGGAGGAGGAGGAGGAGGAGGAGGAGGAGGAGGAGGAGGAGGAGAGAGACGAAGGACGAGGACGAGGAGGAGGAGGAGGAGAGCATGAGGAGGAGGAGGAAGAGGAGGGAGGAGGAAGAGGAGGAGGAGGAGGAGGAGGAGGAGAGGAGGAAGCAGGAGGAGGAGGAGGAGCAGGAGCAGGAGCAGGAGCAGGAGCAGAGCAGGAGCAGGAGGAGGAGCAGGAGGAGCAGGAGGAGCAGGAGGAGGAGGAGGAGCAGGAGGAGGAGGAGGAGGAGGAGGAGGAGGAGGAGGAGGAGGAGGAGGAGGAGGAGGAGGATACCGCCGACGCCCGCTGGGGGTGGGTGGAGGGCGACGCTCTTCGATCCCCTCTGGCCGTGACTGTTCCACGGTGCAGTCCTGCGTGCCCTGCTCTTCTGCCAGGATGGAAGGCGAGCACCGGGGCAGCAGCGGCACTGGCTTCGCACAGAGCGACCACTGGATCTCGAGGGCGTTCCCGTCGTACAACAAGGACGCCGAGCACCCCGTCGGCGCCCCAGCGCGCCCCGCAAGACCGAGCGACCTCTGCCGCCCTCTCTCCTCCCTCCCCTCTCCCCATTCATCCCTCTTACTCTCCCTGTGGGTTGGGCGGTGGGGGCGGAAGGTTCACAAGATGGGGAGTTCGATCCCGAGCCGTTCCAAAGGAGCGACGGCTACACGTTAGTTCTTTGGAGTCGATATGGCAGAAAGTTCGGCGGTGACCCTCGTCGCCGCAGGGTCGGGGCCGCGCTCAGGCCATGGAGGCTGGTATATATGGCGGGCCGCTTCGATTCGACCCTCGGAGGTCGCCGCCAGACCGATCCCGCGCTGAAAGTCGTGGCTTTGGGCTGGCGCTCCGGAGGCTTTCGGGGCCGATGCGGTTCGTCACGGACAGTGCTGCTTTGCACACAGGATCGATGAACAAGCGGCACTTGTCGTGCCATGGGTCCAAGTCCAGACGCTTCGCGTAACCCCACCAGCCCATACTGAAACGGAGCCCAGAGAGCTGTCTTGATCAGGAATGTGGAGGAGGATGCAGTGGAAGAAATGGTTTTGTAAGAAGTCGCGCCCCAAGAGGGGGACGATGGAGGAGGAGTCGGAGGAGCAGGAGGAGGAAGAATAGGGAGTGGGGGAGGGGGAGGGGGAGGAGGGAGGAGGAAGGGTGAGGAATAGGCGGATGAGGAAGAGGGGGAGGAGGGCGAGCAGAAAGGCCAGAGACCTCCTGGTGCCTCTCGGAGTCTCTTCGGATGTCTTTCAAACGTTTCTTGGAGTCCTCTTGGGGCGTCTTGGAGGTTTCTTGGCAGTCCTGGGGGCCTCTTGGGGCGTCTTGGGGGTTTCTTGGGGGCCTCTTGGGGGCATCTTGGGGGCATCTTCGGGGCGTCAAAGGGCCTTAGGCACCTCTTGGGGTCGCCTTGGGGCACCCTTGCGAGCCTCGGGGGCCATCTTAGAGGAGATCGATCAAAGGACGGGCCGTACTAAATTAGAGACCCCCGCCAGGAGGCCAAAATGTGGCCAACGCCTGAGCAACATCGCTAATGTTGAACCTCCCGCCAAGGCCCCTTGGGGCGTCTTGGGTGCCTCTGGGGTTGCATCTCGGAGCTTGTTGGGGGTCTATTGGGTGCATCTGGGGGTCATATTGGGGTCCTTTTGGGGTCTCCTGGGCACCTCGTGGGGCCGTCTTTGGGCACCCTTGGGAGCCTTGGGACTTCAAACGGAGGTTGAAGGCGAGCCTGCGAACGACGCGCCCGCGTCCGCCGCCGCTTGGGCGCAAGCGGCGCGCGCCCAAGAATTTGTCGGGGGTGGACAGATGGTCAACAGTACTGGCTTCGACCTGGCCGACCCAAGCGTGCCACGAAAATCCAACGGTACTATTCTCTGACCAATATCCGGCGGTCTGACATGCCCCGCGTGCGTCGACATCGTGCAGATATGCTCACATAGACACAACCACAACCCACGACAATGTCGCAATGTCGCTCGTTTGAGAAGGAGTCTCATGTATTGGGGGTGTCCTGGCTGCAACAAGGAGAACGGCATCAACAAGACGGGCCACTCGCCAATACAAGGCAGCTGTCGATTTGCTCAGACTTGGCAACTACCTGACAACAACGGCCAAGGCCCTCAGGCTGTACCAGCACCAGTTTCAGCACCAGTTGCGCCAGCAGCAGAACCCGCGCAACCGAGTTCGCAGCAACGCGTCGAAACCATGGCGGCGATGACCGAACAACAGGCGCCAGTAGCTACCACATGACCCGAGGAGTTCACGGGGATCCCAGGTGTGACGCGCTGGAAAGCGGCGCTGACATGTCTGACGATCATCAACCAGTCGTAGGACGGCGTTGACGCGAGCAGCGTGGCGCACCACCCTCACCACCGCAGCCGCTGGCTGAAGCATGGCCTCGCGCGAGGCTGCCTGACTGGACGCGTCCCAACATCCAGCTAAGCCTCCAGAGCCTACGTAGCTTCAACCCAGCACTTGTGGCAAAAGAGTTTCGAGAGCCCCACCTTCGCTGTTCGCATTTTCAGAACCAGAAGCGCGCGTGATCTTGTCAACGGTGTGGCTGATCATCGTGCGCCTCAATATGGTCAAGAGCGTCTGCGATTCATGGCGTGAGTGGCGATATTGGGAGAAACCTGGCTACGCGGTTGTGCCGTTCTGTCGCCCCCCCCAGGTCACTTGAACAAGGGGGGCGACTGCGACTTGATCTTTTATAACCGATACATCGTTCTTTGTTCAAACCATCGACCGGTGCGCGCGGTGGGCCGCTGGTCAACAGGGAACCGACAAGGCGATGCACGCTATCATGGGCGCCTCGTCACCGATTGTGGACATGGCCCGGCCATGCTAATGTGTGTTATTCGGACGGCGAAGGCGAATTGAACAGCGGCGTCGCCGGGGCAATCCTAGACAGGCCGAAGGCACGGGGCGTCGCATCCGCGCCCGAGGCCAAGTTGGCGCCACCATCAAAGTTCCCCACGGGATCCTTCGACATGCGCTGCGCGTCGTGGAGGAGGAGCTCGGGGGAATTAACATCCTTCTTGTGCCCCCTAGACTGCCGCGCAAGGGCTAATTTGTTTGCGACGCTCTCGCGTTCTACAAATGCTCATCTCGATGCCTGGTCCTGCGTGCCCGACAGCCATCCTGCTTCCCGGATCCACTAGTGAATAATCGCGAGCCAGGGGCGGAAACGTCCGATCATCACCGCGAACAAACATCAGCGATGTAAGTAAAGGCCATCACACAGGCTACTGCAGTTGTCAAGGCTAACGGAGCCTCGCATACCAAAGTGACACTAGCTGGACAGCGCAATGATCAAGCAGGCGATCTCGCGGACTATCGATGACCTGACACCGCGCAGGACGATTGGGGGGTCTGGGTTGGACCATGCCCGGTCACGCGCAACGACCCAGACCGAGACCAGGCAGCAGTTCGGGTTGGCGGCCGCGGGGGCCTGATGCAATGCCGAGATTTACGTCGCTCTGCGCGTGGAAGCCTCCATCGTCCGCGGAATCGGCTCCGACACGACGGCCATGCGAGCTTACCTGCGGGGAAGCCTGCTGTGGCGTTGGGCTATTTGCCCACCGGGCAGGGGCACCTGCGGGTGACCGCTGCGAGTCGACGCTCGCCGAAGGTTCACTTGGCTTTGCAATTTGTCATCAGGAACGCCATCAGGATTGAAAATGTGGCGACGGCGCGCCTGGCCAGAAACATCCATGGGCCACCCGCGGCGTCTTGTGCCGACAGTTGCGCGCGTTTGTGCGTCGTGACTACCATGTGGCTCCAGGGTTCCATTATTGTGACTCCTAGGGCGCGGCTGAGCATGCGCGATGCCGCTGGGCCCGCTCGCGCACGAGCGTCACGTCTTCAAAATCAGTGGCAGAATTCGACGGATACCCGTCCAAGTTCGAGGACCTGGCGGGCGCGCCGCCGCCGAGCGGACGTGTTCAGAAGGTGCAACTGCATGCTCTTCCTGCCGCTGACGATTGCCAGCTCCTTACACTGCATGGGGTGCCTGAGGCCGATCTTGAAGCCCGCGTCGCAGAGGCGTGGCGCGCCGAGCTACAAGAGGAAAGGGGTTCCTGGGGGACACTCCGCTGGCGCCCCTCTATGCCATGCCAACTAACGTGATTGCCGCGGGCAGCGCGCGGGCGATTGTGACCGGCGAAGAGCCAGGGAACTCGCAGAAACAAGGGTACGGGCAGTGCGAGATCAAGGGCGTCTCGCCCCCATGCGTGGGACTGGCCGCTGCGAGACCGATGGCCTCGATGTGGGGAAATCTGGTCCGCGCGTCTGAGCTCTCCTTTGCAGCGGGCAAGTCCATGGTCCACCGACAAAGCAACGGCGCCAATCATTTCATGGTGACCATCGAACTGCGATGCGGGCGCGCGCGCCCGCTGCGTCAGAGTGAGCCGTCGTCGAGGAGGGCGACGTTCTCGGAAGGCTCGGGCGCGGGCGCCCTGTCGAGATGCTTGCGGCTGCGAACGCGGATCTTGAGATCTGCTTCGACACATTGTTTTAAGATGCCGCCCGTCCTCGCGACGTCGAGATATGCGTGCGCATCGAAATTCGCGAAGTACGAAAGGTCGAATTCGGGCGCGCTATCAGACTGCGCCTCGTATTTCGCGTGTCCATTGACGTCGAGGCCTCCGGCGCGTAGACCTTTGCAGGGGCGGCTGGGCGGGCCATTCGGGGACGGCGCGCAAGCGCGGCCGCGCGCAGTGAAGTCTTCCTCCTCAGCATCCATAAACATGAATGAGGTGGCTCTCTCGATGGGCCTGGCGCGTGGCGAGTTGGCCGCAGCCGCCGGCGAGTAAGAGCGCGTGGTTGTTTCGCGCGACCGCCTGGCTCATGCTCAGCGCTGGGAGCTCCAGGCTCTGCGTCGCATGGCGAAGCGCGAGGCTGTCTGCCGCTCCTAGGGCGAGGAACGGGCGCCAGGGGCGCCTCGGGGAGTTTTCGCTGCGAGCCGGGACAATCGCGCGAGACTGCAGTCTCAGACGGATTTCCCGTGGCGAGGAGTTCGAATTGAGCTCGGGCCTCTTTGCAGCCGAGCGCGTGGGAGACGCGTGGCAGGCGTCGAGGGCGCCGTCGGCATGTGCGCCACGCGCGAAGAACACGTTTTGCGCGCGCAAGGTCATCGAACATAGCTGCGCGGACTGAGCCGCGCGATGCGCGGAGACCGTGGGCGGCCGAGCCCAATTGGATCGAGGTTGATAGATGGGAGAATATCGCCCTGGGCGCTGCCGAGAGCTGATTGCCGACGGAAGAAAATAAGGCGAACGCGGTGTCAGATATGGTCATCCGTTTTCGCGGTGCTCTGGCGCGTGCCGCGATCGCCCAGGTGCGCTTCGACGGCGTTCGCGGTCTCTCGTGCGACGCGCCCAAGAACCGACCGACGTGCGAGTGCGACGACTCGGCGCCGCAACGTGAACACTACAACAGCTCCCAGAGAAAATCATATACCAAGCAATGACTCCAACCGGAAAAGGTGGGGCTACATAGCGAATCCGGTTGCCGTCGCTTCAGCGGCGAGCCGACTGCGAAGTCAGGAGGCACGGCGCCCGAGGTTTCAATGTAATCTCGCGTGGACACCAGCCGAGCGGAGAGGCGGTTGCCCGCCCGATTAATGCGCGTTGCAAGGCACGCCGACGGGAAGCGCGCTCAAGCTTTCCAGCGGAGAATCAAGCATCAGCTATGACTTGGGGGCTGCGATCCAGCATTCGTCGCGCTGCTCGATCTGCACGACCACGTGCGCCGACGTTTTTTTCAACCAACCTATCACGCATAGTTTGTCTACGCATCAAGGCAGTAGTTCCCATTGATGCTGCGTGTGTCTTCAAGTCCTTATCTAGAACGGGTCTGGAGAGACCTACTGGGCGTGCACTTCTTGGCCAC